TATGTGGAAAATAATGTGTTTTTTGAACCTTAAACCCCATAAACACATTGCATTACACCAAATACACAAAATAATGTTCTTTTTAGCAACATCATATGACCCCTTTAAAATAATAGAAATGTTGCATTGGCAACTAACTGAAAATAAGTTAAAGTACTTAAATTATTAATAAAATTAAGAAATATTTAAAAACAATAAAAATGACAAAAGCACAAAATTACTAAAACCAAAATTAAAAAGAAAACTGAAAATATAAAATCGAAAACTGGTAACACTACAGTATTTTACAGTGTCCTTGTTAGAAGCTACATGTACTTACTATAGTAATAACAATAAATTATGCATAATCATTAGGGGTGCTCCGATCATGATTTTTGAGGCCGATCACAGAAAGCAGTATCTGCCGATACCGATACCGATCTTTTTAAAGCCAAAAAGCCAAAAAGTACTGCAAACAATGTGCTGTCACTTTAATTCAGCGCATGTATCACAGCAAAAATAGACTTGGTGCAGAAACGATTTCTGCACTGCTGCAGACGCACCGCTCCTGAACGCACTGCCGTGTGCACTGTGAATGCTTTAATCCATTAACATGAGCGTGGAAAAAATACGCACCACATACCATGCACTGCAAACAGAGTAATGTGAACCTGGCATTATGTGTGTGCCCTGCAAGTGTGCATGAGCGCACGGTCTACAGGAGAGTGAATGGTTAAACACTGGCAAGAATTAAAAAGTAATGCAAAAACTTTACTTTACTTGTATAAACTTTAGTGACGATGTGACTGCCTCGATTGTGCAAGTGACAATTCCTGTGTCAACTGTGCAGCATGCAGCTCGCTTTATTGACAGACGCGATGTAGTGATTTGAAGCCATTTGCGTATTTTGAGAGAGAAAGAGAGAGCGCACGCGGTGAATCACTCACGCTGTTTGTGAAATTACGTCTCACAAGGTTTTCAAATTACTTTGCAAGTTATTTAATGAAGAAATAGGAAGGTGAGTACCTCACCTTCAGCATTATAATTATTTCACCCGCGCTGGACAGAGACCGAGACCGCCGATCGAGATGTCATGCCAAACCTCTCACGGCAGCGTCATCAGTTTGAGATCGTTTTTTTTAGATCGGCCTTTTAGAGACCGCCGATCGAGCATCCCAACGTGATTATCGGCCGATAATGATCGGTAGCCGATCAATTGGAGCACCCCTAATAATCATGCAATTAATTAATATTACTCAGAAATTAAATGTATAATTACACTGTAACAAGGACACTGCAAAAAATTAAAATAAAGTGTATCCTAAAAGCCAATTCACTATATGAATAAATACTATAATAATACATAAATAATACTAAAATAACACTGGGTAGTACACGGAATATAACTTACAGTATGCAGTAAACATTAAATAAGTATTCCATTCTAGTTTTGGCCTAATTTAAATGACTCCATAAGAAAGAATAATTATTAAAATAATAATAATAAAAATTCTCTCCACCAATTACATGCTGCTTTTTTCAATCCACTGTGCTATTATATTAAAATAAGTACTGTCTCTCAGTGGCTCAACTCACCTCGCCCAAGGCCATCACGGTATCTAGTGCCGCCCTCAGCCGGCTGCAGTCTGCCGTCCCCATAGACTTCTGCTCCTTGAGCTGGCAGAGCAACGCCAAGGCCTCCGCGCCACACGCCTTCACGTTGTCTGCCAATGCTGCCCACAGACAGATAAAGACAAAGACAGAAAGCAGTCAGACGAGCCATCTGTCACCTGCAGACACTCCACATACGCTCGGGCAGACACACATTTCCTGCCATGTACGGCTGTGACGTGATCACTCATGAGCGTGGGAACCGCATATTAGCCGTTTTGAGTTACATCAAGTTCTTTTAAAGCAGCTCTACCGAAAACATTAGACCTCCGGCGACGGAGTTATTAACAGAACCGCAGTGACACTAATGGCCTTCCTGATGTATGGAGACCAACTCAAACAGAAAGTCATATGAGAGATGTCCAAGTCATTCTTGGACATCTCTCTATATGTGGACACAGTGGTGCTGTAAAATATTCATCAGTTTACTAATATAAATTACATTTATGTTGCCGATATCAAACGGATAGTTCTGGTTCTGGATGCTGATTTGTCGATACAGTGTCAATGAATGTGTCTTTCAGGAAGTATTTACATAGAGGTGCATCAGCTGTGCTGATATGATTACATAAGCTCTTTTGGATATGTGGTGTTCGGGTGATTGACGTCTCGTGCTCACCGTCAGCTTGCTCCACCGGCACCATGTGGGAGGTGGCGCTGCCCTGCACGATGACATCGCCCACCAGGTGAGCGAACTGAGTCACCGCCCGCACCAGTCCAGACACATCTATCACACACATACAGGGAAATCAGTGAGAAAATATATGAGTGCCACTGATCTCAATAGACTGAGTGTCAACAAAAGTGATGAAATGAAGTCTGCATGCATTCATGGTGAATCATTTTTGGTAATGGATTTTTAAAAGGTATATCCTTAGTTTAATTGTGTGTTTTTTAACTTGTGCATTTTGAGAGAAAAACAGTGATGGAACAAAACAAAACAAAAAAAAGAGTAGCTCAGCTGCCTTTAAAATTGTGTAGATTTGACTCAGTACTGAGTTTTTTCAACATTTAGCAGAGTAGCATGACAAATCACTACACTATGGATGTGTCACGACGTATTGTGCAGCTTTACTAGCAAGAGAGCTAAAGAAACAGCCTGACAGAATGCTCCCCCTTTGTCTCGAGTACCGTCATTTCAAAGTTGAATCAGATATGGTTTTAATATTTCAGTTTGATCAGAAAGTTCAATAAAAAAAACTAGACTCCAAAATGAGTTACTCAATAAATTCTGTTCATGTTATTATTTTTTTTTGACAAAAATTATTTTTGTATTTGTGTCTATATATATTTTTGTTTTATTTTCTTTTTTTCATTTCTTTCTTTTTCTTTTTTTATTATACTACTGCTCAAAACTACTTTGAGGACAGTAAGATTTTTAACAAAATTATTAACTTCTATTCAGCAAGGATGCATTAAATTAAGCTTTGCCATCACAAGAATAAGTTACATTTTAAAATATATTTTAAAAAAAAATCACAATAACACTGTTACTACTGTATTTTACGTTATCAAATAAATGCAGCCTTGGTGAAAATAAGGGACTTCTTTTAAAAAAGTTTAAAAAATCTTACTGACCCCAAAATATGTGAATGTTAATATATAGTTCTCTTTAAGCAGCTTCAATTAAGCCAACTATTTTTTCAAGAGAGTAACTTTGCTTGTTCTTTAACTACTTTAAATGACGTGTAACTTGTAAAGCTACAGTTTCATATTAACTTTCGCAACACTGCTGGAGTCAATGGTACATTGATGAATGCTAGTTGAGAGGGGAAATGAGAGTGTGTGTACATGTAATTCACCTGTGTTATCTGATACAAAGCCGACTCTGGCCGACTGCAGCCTCTCCACGCAGTCCAGAGCCACCTGGCACCTGGACACCAGATAATCTACACACACAAGAAGGTATTTTAATATTTATTACGCACTTGTAGGGCAATTCCTGCTGTGTGTGGTGCAATCAGTGGGAGGGTTTAGGGTCATTTGAGCTGGTCACTGACCGGCTGAACTGGTGCAGCTTATGTGTGCGGGGTCCTCTAGCTGATTCAGGCAGTCCTGTACGATCCTTCCCGCCTCCTCCAGAGCTGCTCGCAGAGCCGCCCAGCGCAGAGAGACCAACTCACTCTCCAGAGACTGCTCACGACTCTCCTACAGATAGAAAGACAATGAAAACAGACTCCATGTTTGTCATATTTACAGCGCATTTATTCTGATATACTGAATCTGAATGCATACAAAGCCACTATTGCAACAGGACAAATACAATCAACAGTAATCACAGAATATTCCACCTTCTCATTGAGTTGGTTCTGCAGGGCCTCAGCAGCTTTCACACCACTCTCCCTCTCATTGGTCAGACTGCTCTGCACACGCTCTAACTCCACCCCCAAACTGGCCAGCTCCGCCTCCTTCTGAGATACAGTCTCCATAAGCCCCACCTTCTCACTCTCTAGAGCAGACAGCTGAGTACCGAGCTGCTCGTTCGACTATACGAAGAGAGTGAATAAAGCTGTCAATTACAAGATTTAATGTGACATTTTACTAAGAACAAAAATCATGAAATCACAAGAAACTAATGTTACTGTTAACTATAACTATTAAAAATCATTTTCATTCATTGAAAAAGCTGAAATAAAATATAACAAAATTACTAAAACTAAAATGTAAAAATAAAAGCTAATTAAAAATATTAATAAATACTATAATTGTATATAAATAATTCTAAAATAGAAAAAGAGAATGAGGGTTAACATGAAAAAAAGTCAGAGACACTGAAAATAGAAGAGTTAGGGGCTGTTCACACAGAACGCATCTTTGCATCTAAAAACGCGAGACTTATGCTCATAAACTTATTCTATAACTTTTTTGGTTTCAATTTCAACTTCTTTTTAACAATAATCTGTCAAGGGTCTTCTTTAAAATGAGACCAAACTTAAGTCTGTACTCCCAAGCTTAACATTTTTATGACAGTTTTTTGACATTAATATTTTTGTCCTCTATGAACCTGTGTGTAACTTTTTTAAATTGACGCACAAGGGTTAATAACACGGCGCACATGTGCCATTTAAGTAAAAAGTTAAACACAGAATATAAACAAACTACACCATGGTCACAAGACTTCAACGTCATTCACCATTAAACATTAATTTTGTTTGGCATGATTACATTTAATGTCTCCGACAATCTCTGTAGTCCCATATAGCCACTTTATAGCACCCGCTTTTTTCAAGACAAGTAAAAGCATTTTTTCTAAAAATCACAAGGGAGTATTAGTGATGTATTTTATGTTGTAGAATAAAACATGAAAATATCTTGAGCTTGTGTTAACCACAGACCACAGAATTAACCACAGAAATGTCAGGCATTTAACCGAAAACCTTCAGAATGATAGAACTGGAAGTGCTAAATTGCTACTTTGTTTCCGGGTTTTTACCTAAAAATCTGCAACACTCTATAAAGCTTATTAAAAGTGAAACTGATACGGTCATGCTATAGATGATTGGAGGTGCTGCAGCAGGTGTGCAGGTGACAGAAGGAAGTAGGATGGAGGGGGAGGCGGGGTAACATATCACCTCCCACATGCAGTCTGGACACATTAACTCAGGTAATTCAGCACCCCACAAAATCACCACGTTCACCTGCGCTAGACTAACAGCAGAGACAGTGATACATGGAACCTGTGCTGGGCTGAGAGCTGAACAGGGATGTATGGAAGAGGGTTAAGATTCGACATTTCTTTAAAGGGGTCATGAACTGAGAAATGAAACCTCTGCTTCATCTTTTGACATGAAAGAGTTAATTGTACTTCAAAAACATCTTGTAAGTTTCAGAACTCAAAACTTCCTTGTTAGTCCAAAAACAGCTTTTATTGAAACCAAGCTGCCAAAACAGCAATTCGTTTCATATTTCATCTCAATATGATATCATAGTGTGACAAAAGAACGCCTCTGAAGAAGATCAATGCCTATGTCAACAATACTGCATCTTTAGCTCCGCCCACAAATTCACGCACGTAGGAGGAGGCAAGTAAATATGAGACAGATGCAAACACAGGATTACTCAAGCAAGAAAATGATAGAGATTCATCCAAGCATTACAAGACTCTGAATAACAAGCTGGCTAATAAGAAGTCTGTAAACTGGGTCTGTACAGTATATATATATATATATATATATATATATATATAAGGTGTTTATAGTGTTTGAAATGGTTTCTTGGCATTGCTCAAGGACCTGGTAATGTCACAAGTGTGAGTAACTATGTTTTCACCATATCTCTCTATTGCTTTGTCTGTTACAGATTGTTTGATATTTACAGAGTATTTACACATTTTTTAACAAAATGATTCGTATGAGTACATCACAGCAGTGTCCATCTATTATTTTAATATGCAAAACTGTTAGCTAATCACAGCTGTGGGCATTCACTTCCAAGTCTTGAATGCGGCATGCCTATCAAAATGGTGTGTTTCAAAGAGAGGGTCAAAAATAGAATAGAATATTAACCTATTATGGTGTTTTTTAATTTAAAAATCTTGCTAACATTATAAGTTGATTTCAGAGAACATTATAAAATGTAAAAAAAAAAATACAGTTCATGACCCCTTTATACAGTATTAGGACAAAGAATGGAGATGGATTCATGACAGAGGTGAAAAGGAAGAGAATGATGGGTAGAGGGTGAGGTCCCACCTGTTGGGAGGAGGTGACGGTACTCTTCAGGGTCTCTAGTTCAGATCTGCTGGACATGAGCTCGGCTTGTAGAGCTTGAAGCTGCTCTAACTGAGCCTTCTCCTACTCGTGTACATACATGAGGATAGGGAAGTGTAAGACAAGCATACTACGGATACATCAGGCAGAGGAAGTGTGTGTGTGTGTGTGCACGCGCATGTGGTTTGTGTCCGACCTGCTGACTGGTAGCATCCTGAGCGGCTTTCAATCGGTCCTGCATCTCTTTTTTCACATTCTCCACCTCGTCCTGGGCGGCACGGGCCACCGTCATTTGACGCGTCACCTCGGCATTCTGAGAAACACATAGACATGTACAGTTTAGCACAGAGACAAGACTCTTGGCTGACCCAGTTCTTTTCCCAAGGACATGGCACCCACTGTCAGGATGTCTCTGCGGTGGGATCAGAGCGTGCTGCTGTATGGCAGTGAGTGTGATGACAGCCTCTAAGCATGGCAGAGGACCAGAGTGCCAAGTTTCATCTGTGTAAGAAATAGAGCAGAGTCTGCAGGGGAAAAAGTCTGGTGAAGAAGCTAAACCACCTGCAAGTATACTGACAGGCCTGACACTGGAGCTCAAGTGAGCAGTATATAGTGTGCACACTGTGTATGTGCAGTATGCAAATTTCTCCATCTACTATCTACATGGAAAACACAGAATACCGACTGCATTTGCCAAAACAAGCATGCTGAGTGAGATACTGTATCCCACAACCCAATGTGCTTGACCTTCCATTTCCAATGTGAAGGAAATGTGGAATAAATTAAAAATGAAATACACACACACACACATTTATATATATATGAGTGAGATACTGTATCCCACAACCCAATGTGCTTGACCTTCCATTTCCAATGTGAAGGAAATGTGGAATAAATGAAAAATGAAATACACACACACACATATTTATATATATATATGATTGCGGTGGCGTATAGGAGTCGTATAGTAAGCACGCGTGAGTCCGTTATAATAATGCGTGTATGAGTGCTCTCGACGCACTGATCGCACATTGTATTTATGCACAGGCACAGACATTTCCGTACATTCATGTTGTTTCCACACACATTCACGATAATGTTATGATTTGTCATGTTTATGTTGCGGTGTTTAGTTATTCTGAATGGATCTGTGTACTGTAGTAGATATATGCATTCAGCAGGCGGTTGGTTTTTTGGCATAACCATGTGGTCCTGTTCGGTATCGCAACTTGACTTCTCTAAAATGTAAAAAAGCTCATTGCTGTTGCACTGTACACATACTATAAAATTCAGATTTTTTTTCTTTCATATGTGCTTATATGGGCTCCTTATACAGGGTATATACAGGAATCATGGAGTTAAATTTAATTCTTATGGTAAGAGTTTTAAGACTCTTATCATACATTTTAAGACCTTGTCACCACTCCAAGTTTTAACCGGTTGCATTGGCGACACTAACTTTTTACATTTACTAGTTAAGTTAATTGAGTGACTAACCCAAAATTAGACCAATAAACAAAACAACTGACAAAACTTGTTGAAAAGGGAAAATAAAGCTCTCTGAGCTAACGGGACAATGAGTTCACACAGTATATTCAAAAGATGAATTTGTAACATCAACTCTTATAACTGTCTGCAAACCATAGCTCTTTTGTGGAACACTTCTTATGACAAACACCTGACTGATCAGACAGGTTTACCTGTGATTACGAAATGCTTGATTTGATGCAGACTTGACACCAAGTGTCAGTAATACTGCACCTGATCAAGTCTGAATGATCATGGAAGGTAAAATAATGATCACAACAATTACATCATTTTAGTGGCCCTCCTTCACAAAACATTTAGCAGTTTTATTACAGATAGAATGCAAAATGTTAAAGTAAAAGCATTTCAGTCAAATTTAATTTATGCAATGTTTCAAACCTTTAACCCACGGAGAAAATCAACCCATGGCAACAGTTTAAAAGTAGCCCAATTCCGTGGAAAAAAACAACCCTGTATCCAACACAAGCTGCATGAGTCAGATTTGACTGATCACAGGTCGAGAGTAAGGAGAGATGACTGACAAGATGTTGGAGGATTGCCCCTCAACAGATCCTGAGCTCATTGACAAATATCTTATATCGTAAGATGTGCTCCCTTTACAAAGTGCACGCGCGATCACGAAAGTGAACTGCAACTGCAAGCGCTCATTCAAAAGTGATTTAAATACCCCACATATTAATAGCGGCTCCATGATGCGTGAAAATTATAAACAATATTAGAATATTTGCGGGATTGGATGGGAGCAGGCGGTAATGGTCAGAAATTCAGCGAGAGTGGGATCAAGTAACAAGCCCCGCACAGGGCTCTATCTTGCGCTATCACGCAGCAGCGGTGCAGTCTGTCAGTGAGCGCCGTAACAGATGACGTCAAATCTTGCCGGATTCCATAATAAGTAAACTACACAGAACCCCACTATTCGGACAAATACAAATGAAAAGATGCTACAAAATTTAATACCTTGGAAAATTAAATTTAAGACTTTTTAATACTTTTCAAGGGCCTTAATTTTCAATAAATTGATTTATCAACTTTTAATACTTTTTAAGACCCTGTTATATCATTTAGTTCTTTGGTGTCCTTTTGGAGTTTCCAAGTGTCCTTTTTTGGAAAGACATCTAAATTTATCTTGAAAAAAAGCTTGCAGAAAATACAGATTTTTGAGAATCACCCTTCAATCTTTTGGTTTACTTCGCTGGATATTGCAAATGATGACAAAATAAACATTTGAAAAAATGTGTGGGGTGTGCTCTCTTCTGTGTGATACTGTATGTCTTAATATATATATATATATATATATACACACATACATGCATACATACATACATACACACATACATTTATTTCACATTTCCATTATATATTTATTTGGCAAGGATGCATTAAATTAATGAAAAGTGACAGTAAAGACATTTATTTTAAATTAATGCTGTTCTTTTGAACTTTCTATTAAAGGGGTCTAATGATGCTGAAAATTCAGATTTGCATCACAGGAATAAATTACATCGAACAGATTACAAAATCAAATTATATCAAATTATAATATTTGAAAATATTTCTGTATTTATGATCAAATAAATGCAGCATTTGTTTTCACCATTGATAATAATAAGAAATATTTTCAAGCAGCAAATCAGCAGATTAGAATGCTTTCTGAAGGATAATGTGACATTGAAGACTGGAGTAATGATGCTGAACATTCAGATTTGCATCACAGGAATAAATTACATCGAACAGATTACAAAATCAATTTATATCAAATTATAATATTTGAAAATATAATATTTCTGTATTTATGATCAAATAAATGCAGCATTTGGGAGCATGAGAGACGTGTTTCAAAATCTTATTGACCCCAAACTTTTGAACGGTGGTATATATATATATATATATAATTGCATTAAACACTTGTTAATGCTTTAATTGCATGTATTAATGTGATCATTTGCCCTATAAAAATACACATATACAGGCAGTGTGTGAACTAAATGTAGGTGCAAGGACATCAATTCACCTTCCTCAGCAGGTCAGCATGGCTCTGGACCAGCTCTGTGTATTTCTCCTTTAACTTGGTGTAGCGTTGCTCATTGGCTTGTGCTTTTCCTACAAAAAAACACAACACACACAACCAAAATATCTACATTAAGTATCAAAAACCCAAGCCTTGATATGCCTCAGACCATGCTCTCTGCATCACAGAACAGTTAGCACCACTGAGAGCCTCAGCACAGGCCTGGATTTCTCCTTTAACTTGGTGTAGCGTTGCTCATTGGCTTGTGCTTTTCCTACAAAAAAACACAAAACACACAACCAAAATATCTACATTAAGTATCAAAAACCCAAGCCTTGATATGCCTCAGACCATGCTCTCTGCATCACAGAACAGTTAGCACCACTGAGAGCCTCAGCACAGGCCTGCATGTTGGTGAATTGGACTGTGCACTATATGGTTTATTAGCATTTGATTGGAGGCTGCAGTGAACTGGAGTCCCCTCTGACTGTGTTTCTCAGCGCCAGAGAGTAAACAGACTGTCTAATAAATATCCATTACTGTCCTGCATCTGTACTGATTCTGCACAGCCCTTTAAAGGTATAGTTCACCCAAAAAAGAAAATTCTGTCATAATTTTCCAAGTTGTTCCAAACCTGCATGAGTCTTCTGTTATTTTGAATGTTGGTAACCAAACAACTGATGGTAGCCATTGACTTCCACAGTATAGAAAAATAATACTATGGAAGTCAATGGCTACCTGTAACTGTTTGATTACCAACATTCTTTAAAATATCTTCTTTTATGTTTCACAGATAAAAGAAAAACTTGAGGGTAAGTAAATTATGACAGAGTTATTATTTTTAGGTGAACTATCCCTTTAATGGGATGGCTATAACATTGTATTTAAACCATAATGTATGCTGACTTATGAACGAATAACTGATGTTCCAAAAAAAAGCAACAGTTTGGGGTGAACCACTGAGTGTAAATTAACCAAAAAGGAAGAAAAGCCTGTTTTTTTATTTGCGAAAGAGGAACAGGTTGGTCTTGACAATGGTTTGTCTTGAAGCCCTAATTTACAGCTGTCAGGCCAAATTCTCTAAATATTAACAGGGTCGTGAAAATTTAATATAATAATTGAAATAAAGTAGATTTGTACTCTGAAAATATTGTATATTGCTCCAACAAAAAACTCTTACTCTCAATTTCGCTCAGGCTGCGCTGCTCTTTCTCGGTGTCTTCTTTGACCCTGCGCAGGTCGTCTAGCTCGACCCTCAGGAACTCGCTCTCACCCAACGCCTGCTGCTTCAGGTGAGTCTGCTCCGCAAGCTCTGCCTCCAGCTCGTTTACACGCCCCCGTAGTGCTTGACAAAGACGGCCACTCTGAGAAAGACCAAAAGAACGATTAGTGGCATATAGCTTTCATTTTTACTTCTCTTCCACTCTACATGACCCTTCAAAAAGGTTGGGGGCAGTAAAATATTTTAAAAGAAGTCTCTTATCAAAAATACAGTAGAAACAGTAATATTATGAAATATTATTACAATTTAAAAGAATTGTTTTCTATTTTAATATATTTTAAAATGTAATTTATTCCTTTAATGGCAAAGCAGAATTTTCAGCATCATTACTCTGGTCTTCAGTGTCACATGATCCTTCAGAGATCATTCTAATCTGCCAGAATTGTTTTCTATTTTAATATATTTTAAAATGTAATTTATTCCTTTAATGGCAAAGCAGAATTTTCATCATTACTCTGGTCTTCAGTGTCACATGATCCTTCAGAGATCATTCTAATCTGCTGATTTGATGCGCAAGAAACATTTCTTATTATTATCAATGTTGAAAACAGTTGTGCTGCTTAAAGTTTTTGTGGAAACCATGATTCTTTCTTAAAACATTTTTAAAGAACTTAATTTATTTGAAATAGAACTCCTTTGTAACATTACAAATGTATTTGCAATTACTTTTGATCAATTTAACACATCTTTACTGAATAAAAATATGAATTTCTTAAAAAAAATAAATAAATTCTGACTCCAAACTTTTAAGCGGTAGCTTATCAAATTTGACCTCCTCTCATCTCCCACTCTTTACCTCCAATCTGAAGGACTCCAGCTCCTCTTTCAGGGCATGTAGCTCCGCTGTGAGCTGCTCAATCAAACGGTCTCTGAGATGAGAGATACATATTCATGAGTCTTGTGTTATAATATGTTCTAATAAACTCAAAGAGGTTCCTATAACTTATTAATTATATTCTCCAACAGTATCTCCAAGTCTTACTTCTCATCTTTGCGCATGCCGTTCTGACTGTTGAAGTTGAATGGATCTGTAGCGGCCGAGGTGCCGAAGAGGTCGTCAAATTTTCTGTCTACAGTACTCTAATGGAGAGAAAAAAAATCCCTGTCTTTAGAAACTCAAGATAAAAGGAAAGTATACAGACAAATTTGGATAATGAGATTTTGTGTGGTACCGGTAAAGGTGGGATGTCCGTGTCCACCAGGTCTTCTGTCTCTACTACATGTTCACTCTCAGGGGACGAAGACTCCACCGGAATCACCACCACTGGACTGATGTGCTCGGAGAGGGCTGACGCCCGCAGGAAGTTTGGCGGATTCTGAAGAGAAATTAAGAGAGATGTGAAGAAAGGAAACTACTGTAATGTGTTTTCAAACAGGTTTCCAAAAATATTTCCCTTGTATGCTATTGGTCAGGAAAACAGATAGCCCCCGCCCTAGTCTCACGCCATTGGTTGAGCTGATGTCACAATGTTGTTAACATGGTCAAACAAATGAAAAAAATAGCTCGCTGTGCCTTTAATGTTAATTCAAAATATAAGAAATGTCATGAAAATGAAAGAAAAATGTTTTAAAGGGCAGCCTGCAGTATTTTCTTGGAGTCCAGTTGAAAATCCTGATGCTAGAAAACTAAGCAGGCAGATCTGTAAATGAGTTACATAATTTCTTTCCACTAGCCGCATTTTTGGACTCAGGTCAAGCAGGAATCTGTTTGATATGCAGGAGTCTCACCTCAGGAAGCTGTGGGATCTGAATCAGTCTCTTGAAATACTGCAGGTTACTGGAGCGATAGAACAGACTCTTCAGCCTGGAAAGAGAGAGAAACAGAGCGAAAAGAAAAGATTGAGAGAGTGAGAAATACAAAAGAATAAAAATAGTGTCAGTCTGCGTGACTCATGGCAGTAGTTCTGACTGGATAGTGACTGACAGACTCACTTCTTAAACTGCTCCTGGAAGCGATCCCTGTGGCCCTGCAGAGTATCTGCTGGCAGACCTGGAGGACATGAGAACGAGAGGACTGAGAGAGCACACTATTTTCAGCTCTACTTTTATTACATTTTATTATAATATCCAAAGGAACAATGCCAAATACAGAACAATGACAACTTTCCTACTAGAATACACAGTTAAATTAATAAATAATAATACAAAATAAATTAATTAATTAAAATATTAATATTAGTGCTGTCAAAATTAGCACATTAATGCATGCAATTAATTTTTTCAGTTTAACGCATTAAATATATTTAACGCAATTAACGCAGGGGCAGAGCTAGGGTTGGCCACCCCACTGACAACTGCTGCTTCTGTCTCTTTTTTTGACAAGAATTGGATTTATTTAGACGCGCACTCTAACTTCACATCAGCGTAATGCGCTAGTCAAACGAGCGCAGAAAAGGTACAGGTGATGAGGGAGCTTCAGTAGAACAACAGTGAACTGCAGTCAGATGAGATGCTGTCAGGCCATATGTCAGTAAAAAACAATTTTTCCTGTCCTGTCAGCCGTTATACTGTGCTCGTAGTGCTCTTCAATTGCACACACAAATGCAGCGGCGCGCTGTAAATTATTTCATATTAAAGTGCAAAAGAAACGACGAGCACGCAATGTCATAATTATGTCGTCAGTTAGCCTAAGTCATGAAGTTACCAAAAAGGCGATTAAAGCTGCCTCAAAAAAAAAAAAAAATTTGTTATATAGGAGTCAGATTTAAGAACATGTCTCTGAAATGCAGTGGTTTTCAAAACTGTCCTGGAGATGCCCAGCACTGTCTCCCTCATCTAACACACCCGATTCAACTTGTCAGCTCATCATAGAGACTTTAAGAGCTGAAGTGGGTCAGAAAAGGTAAAGAGTTGTGAGAAAATATGACGTGTGTCAGATCCGCGTCATGTCCAGCAGCGGTAGCTCTTAAAGCAGCTAAAATAACCGAATAATCCAGCTGCTGTGATGTCTGTTAATCAAAGAACAAAAGAAAAAAAAAGAGGAAATCATTAAATTGTATAGCTTTAAGGATTCATCTATATTTAATTTAGAATTTAGTGTTTGATAACTATCATCAATAACTTTATTAATTTTCTACTTGCTGAAGGGCACAGGTAGTTAAATATGACATTTATTATAATGGGTTTATGTAAAGATTGTTTTAAGTTCACTTAAATTAGAGGTTGTTACTTTTTGAAGTCTAATAAATGTTATATATTCAATTATACTGTAATGCTGAATGGCTATAATCAATGGTTAAATATTAGGGGGGGAAAAAACTGTTTCATAGAGACATCAGTACTATTGGTATCAGTGATACTCGCCTTCAGTAATAAAAAAAGATGCCATTAAACACTTATTTTTTTTAAATATACTGTCTTTATGTTGTTTCTACATTCATTTGAAGACTGAATGTGAAATTTTTGTAATATAAAAGTATATTTAAAAACTTTACTGTTAGGTGGGATTAATCGTGATTATTTTTCAGAAAAAAAATGTGTGATTAATTAATAATTTTTTTTAATTGATTGACAGCACTAATTAATATTAATATAAGTCACATGAATTCTGATATAACTGTTCAGACTGAGGTTGCATTGCATCTGACCTGTATCTGATTTAGTATCACATATGTTAGTGTCCCAAATCAGAATCGAAAAGAAAAAAAAAAACAACAAAAAAAACTGATTCCTTGCGTTTTGTGCGGTTCACACTTTTAAGAAAAAACAGATCTGAGTCACATATGAACAAAAAAAGCAGACTTGGTCCACTTTTGTCTGCAGTCTGAATGTAGCCTTTGATATTCCTTTGTGTTTGTGTGTGAAGAGAGAGATGTGATTTGTGGACTCACAGGAGTGGAGTTTGAAGAGCAGTTTGACGGTGTAGTCATACAAATGACTAGAGTCCAGAATGACCTGGATAAGAGGGGCCAGGCGACACTGACCCGCTGCCGTCACCGACACGGAGCGAGACATATCCAACGAGCTGAACACTGTGAAGAAAGAAACATCAAAAAAAGCCATCATTCCATAGATACTAAAACCCCTTATACGTATCTTTCTCTCATGCTCTAATACAAAACTATAAACTTATTATAAATTATTATTATAAATTGTGCATATAAATAATTTATATTAACCATTTATAATAATAATTATAAATGATTATAAATAGTTGTGTGTAAATGTTATAATATGCATATATTAATTTACAATATATCTAATTTTTGGACATTTTGTCTCCGCAGCGCTGCTTCAAGTCGAACACACTTCTTAATAGTGTTATGAGAGGGGCCATGCTCAGTGTCTCCAGTGCCGAGACATGATTTCAGCCCCACCCAAAAAATCCTGAACACAAAAATGGGGGAAAACTATTTACCGGTCTAACTCCATAATTCAGTACTACATTGTTCAGTCTTTGTAACGTGTTTCAGCAATACATTTCTAACAATATATATATATATATATATATATATATATATATATATATATATATATATATATATATATATACAGTATTTAAAATTTTTTGACTAATAAAAAAAAAAAAGTAAATAAAATAAGGTATCAAAATCTTAAAAAAATAAGCAGTATTCTCTGCTCTCAGATGCTGGGGGCGTGTCCACTGGCAGAGCTGAAACCACGCCCACTCATGGGAAAGCTGCCGCCTCTCTCAACTGTCAAATACTGCTACAACCTGAACGGATGCTCCCTCTAGCAGCTTAATTTAAATAGACCAAGCTTTTTTGTAAATTATCGCAACCAGGTAATATGCATTTACGTGACAAAGGTATAGCTAGCTGGCAAAGCAAACTATAGGCTGTAGTAACTAACGGTAATGACAGTAACTCACATCTGAGCGGGCGAACCACTGATGCTAATGTGCTCTAGTTATTAGGTGTGTTTGACTTGAAGCAGTGCTGCGCAGATCGATCGCTGTATGACATCAAAGTACTGTGAGAGCGATTCAAAAGCATAAGGAACCGTCTGCTCTCTATAGCTCTCGCGGTACTTTGATGTCACATCGGTCTGCGCAGCGCTGCTTCAAGTCGAACACACTTCTTAATAGTGTTATGAGAGGGGCCATGCTCAGTGTCTCCAGTGCTGAGACATGATTTCAGCCCCACCCAAAAAATCCTGAACACAAAAATGGGGAAAAACTATTTACCGGTCTAACTCCATAATTCAGTACTACATTGTTCAGTCTTTGTAACGTGTTTCAGCAATACATTTCTAACAATAATAATGTTTAGAAACAACTCTCTGAATCGCCTTTACACAGACTTTAATTTATACTAAAATATATACTTATTTATATGCTTTTGTTATAAATAATATTTTCCTACTACCTAAAAACCTATGTTTAAAATACTCTAAATAGCCTCAATTCTCAATTGCGAAGTTGCATTCTTTTAATTTTATGAATCCTTCTTTCACGCCATTCCCTTCAACATGCTGTTTTTCTCAATCAATCCCTTTCATTGCCCATTTTCTCATTCACATTCATCCCCACACTCCCTGCCTCCCTCCATCTCTCTGGTGATCAGTGATGCAGGCTCCTGTGAGACCCCGTCTTCTCAGCACACAGAGAGGTGTGGTTTCCTGTGCCAGGGAGCTGCATTTCAGTCAACAACACTCACATTAACTTCTCCCTAATGCTTCCAGCACAGGCACACTGAGATCTATCAGTGTTCCAGCTAGATTTCACTGCCTTTCTCAGCAGAAATATCTATCCCCATAGAGGTGTCACCTGTTTTTTTTTTACTCTAGAATGCACATTAGCTGTTCTTTACTGCGACCTGAGGTTTTAAAAATATGACACATTTTATTGACGTTACTCAAAGAGTCATGAAAAAGAGATTTTAGCCTTTTTCTATTCAATTGAAGCTGTATTTGTCTGCCAATTATCTACTTAGAAAACAGCTGCCCGGTGGCATAACCAAAATGACCGCCAGGTGAACTAACTTAAAAGGGACTTTTATGGGGTTTTAAACACCTGCACTCCACTTTAAACTTACCGCCCAAGAAAAGGTTCAGCTCACACTCCAAGTAATCAAACATCTCCACCGTCAACTGGAAGCTACATGTGTTGAGAGGAGAGGAAACATGATTAAGTCACATCCCACAAACACACAGAGCAATTTTGGAGCTTTATTTAATAAAAAAGCCTGGGAAAAAAAACACAAAACTTGCGAGAAACCAAGCAATACTCACAAATTATTGACGTCGTTCTCACCCGCCTCATCAAGCTGTCTGTTTGACATCTGAAGGTTGCCTGGGAAACGAGGATTCTGGAAAAGCAAGTGGGGTAAATGTTATTTTTGTGAGAGTCTGACAGCATAGCCTTTTAAAATACCCATGAAATGGCTTGACGAATGTAATTTTCTTTCCTGTATTGACGCATTTCATAATGACGCTGGGGCAAAAAAAAAAAACTAAAAAATATCTATCCATCTAGGCAATAGGCCTAGATAATTAGTTAAAGGGGGTCATGTGATGCGATTTCAAGTTTTCCTTTCTCTTTGGAGTGTTACAAGCTGATTGTTACACCAAATAATGATCTTTTAAAAAAGCATCATATGACCCCTTTTTAAATGTAGAAAATTTACACATACCACCAAACAATGATTTAAAAAAAATAATAATAATAAAATAAAATATATATACATGTACACAATTTTTTTTTTTTTATTAATCTATTATTTATAATTATATTATTATAATATTATCATATACTTTGTTTACTATCAATCAATCAATCAATTTATAAAATAATATATATTTATTATTTAAAACAAAGTAACAAATGTATCTTTAATATAAAATAAATGTTCATATTATTATTATTATTATTATTATACAATCAATTATTTTTTATATATTTCAAATAATATATATAAATAATAGATGAAAATTGTCATTATGTCATTATTTAAATGTCATAATTATTAAAAATGAATGCATTCTTTTTTATAATTTAATGTGTGTGAATATTTGCTTATGTATTTTTATTTTTTTTCCCAAATTTTTTTTGGGATTAACAAACCCCAATTAGTTGTCATGGGGTCACAATATAACTGAATAAAGACTGGAAAAGTTTGGGAATTAAGATCAGAGGAGGAGCGTTAGAAGATGGATGTTCTGCTGAAACCTCCTTCAAGGCTTCAGTCACTCACTTTGATGTGAAACTCCATTTTGGTTATGAGCAGTTTGAGGTAGATGCTGCACAACTTGCCATAGCCTTCACTCAAATGACCCTGAGAAGAGAGAGAGGAGCATGAGGGCAAGAAAAACACTGAACGCTTCAAAAGGAAATGATGTCGTTGCCCTTCCATAGCAGCAGTAGCAGCTAATGAGTCCTCGTCTCATTCTCAGCTGATCAGCTCACTTCACAGTCCAAAGTGTGAGTCACTGTGGGCAGATTAAGGTCATGTTTGGTGTTTGTTAACATGTTTGGTGTACACATATAATAGAACCAGCTGCAAGTCAAGTTAATGAGCTCATTTTTTCACTTCCTGTTTACTTCACCACTTACTGTGACATCATAACAGGAAGGGGACAGAACTTTTTGCATGAAATGTTTCTTCTGAGTTTAATCCTGCAGCACGCTCAGCAACTCAGCATGTTCCATCTGACCCTTCCTGTCTGCTAGTGATACACAGCTAATTGTAAACTGCACTAGAAACACTTGCATTGCTGACAATAAATGCTAAAGTCAACATGAAATGGCATTCACAACTTACTGCATTAGGGCTACTCGATTAATCAAAATAAATCTGAAATCAAAATATGGTTTAATGCGATTATCAAATCGCAAAGGCTGTGATTTAATTATTGTATATACAGAGCGTGTTTCAGAGTGAAGCGCAGCACTGTGTTCTTCTACACATGAGCAGCTTGTGATCCAGTGTTTTCAGTGTCTCAGATCAGCTTGGTTTACAGTAAATTCTGCTCCATATAATCTCATCTCTGCATCTGCTCTGAGTTTGGGATGCTTATAACATGCATTCGTTCTGACGTCAACTTTTTACGGAAGTCACAACGGTTCGTGAAAAATAGCTAGAACTTTAAGCAGGCTGTGTGAATTTGACTGTGGACTGACTGTTTTGAAACTTATATGGTAGATAAATAGCCCCTAGACCTCAGTAATCGTGAAAAAAGCTAGGAAATTTCAGTTTTGGCAATATGGGACCTTTAAAATGCGCCAACCATCTTCCCAAACTTGAAAAATGAGAAGCGTTAATAAACCGACTATTGTCAAAAAAAGACAAGCTTTAAGGACTTCCAGTGATTTTCCACCAAAATAAAAGTTTGCAGGTAAAACTTTTGGAAATAAATAAAGATGGTCATAAATAATTAGTATTGTTGCATAATAATGTTGCATTTGTATAATAAAATAAAAATATTATTAATACATGATTTTTCTTATATATTCAATTTGCTTATTTGCTAGTGATATATTACAATAATATAAATTTTATTTAGTAACAACAACAACAATTATTTTTTATTGTTATTATTACCAGCATATTGATATATAATCACAAAATATTCTGCTAAACTGTGCAGTCCTGCAAATAAGCACAGCAAACATATCAGAAAAATCACACTTAAATTTTCTCCCCAAATCTGTAATGCGGCAGCTACAGATTTTCTTGTATAAGCACCCATTTATGCTATGTAAGAAAAACAATTAAATTTTTTCATTTTACATTGTATTTAATAAAGAAAAAATATAATCTGGAATATGTTGTCTTTATTTTGGAATCAATTTGTCTTTAGTATTAAATAATGTCAATACATCAATCAAACAATCAATAATTTATTTATAAAGCACAATAAAAACAACATTAGTTGACTACTGTGCTGAACAACATCAAATATAAGTTCTAGATAAAAGACCAAAAGAATAAAAACATCCAACAACACACACTTCATAAGAGCACTTCATGAGATATCAGGGATGTCTGACTGGTACACACATAACAAGCAAAGCTCTGTAAGCATTCCTCCAGAGTGCCAAACACACGCTCACGTCATCGTTAGCTAATTACAGATCATCTCTGCGCTGAGGTTAGTGTGTCTGACTCATACACAGAATGCCAAGCTATTCAGCTGTCAATCAGCAATAACGAAATGGCTTGCTGACAGTTTCCACAATGAGATTGACAGGGCCTCATTCAATACGACAGAGTTCTATTGAGCGAGCCTCAGTTTTAGTGGGAAATCATTAAAACCAGCAGCCACAACTTGTGTTCACACACTTACCCACATCCTGCTCATGTCGTTGAGGTCAGCCTTGTGCCGCATGGAGTCCTTAATGACCTGAGGTGACAGAGAGACAGAGGAAGAGTTGAGACAGCATTCTAAAAATATAATAAAATAAATACCTCTAATTCTCTCATTCTAATTCTCTCTTTTAAACCTCATTTAAATACCTAATTTTACCCTAAAATTCAAATTCAGATCAAATAAAATTCATACCTCTAATTACCATCAAATAAGATGTCTCAAAATAAAATAAGATACCGCATATTAACCTCAAATTAAATAACTCAAAATAAAATAAAAGCAAGTTTAAAATTTCTTCAAGTTTAAAATAAAATAAAAATGCCTCATTATCCTCAAATAAGATACCTCAAAATAAATAAAATCAATTAAAATAAAATAGGAACCGCGTATCTTAGAATGATTTATCTGAAAAAAGGCTAGTTATTGGCCAAAAATAAATTTTAATAAATTTTAATTTCCAAAGTTTTTAAAGTATCCAAAGAGCAGGGTGTTTTATGGCCAATATTTGATACGGTTTAAGCATAGCACACACAAATATTAAGTAAAACAGCATCTTTTTAATTAAGCTGAATTTTTTTTATTGATAATTTTCAGTATGGAATGAAATATCAGAATGTATTTTGGGACCGACCAATCTGCATAGGTTATATACAGCACTGCCCTGAATTTAGCCAAAAAGGGTCTTAGATGGCAGCATAATGTTGCTGCTAACCTTTTTGAACAGATTTTGGGTCAGGATTGAGCATATGGCACCTTAAAATGCTGTCTAAGTAGACAGCTGATTAGGTTTTTGGAACAGGGCTTGTGAGAGTTGATGTGGAATTGCTCAATACAGATCACACACACACATACACATTATGTGTCACTGATGCATACTGAGTTTACTTTGGGGAGCTGATTTGAGTGTGTGAGAAAAATGAATTAATCAAAGGGAGAAGCAGATACCAAGAAACTAAGCGCTTGAGAGAAAGTGAGAGTGAGGTGGAATTAGATGTTTAAGAGTTAATATGGCTGTACTCACATTTGGATGGCCGTCCCTCAGCAGCTTGTGGAAGACGTGGCAAAATTTCCAGCAGAGCACTGCATTGCTGGAAAGGGGCAAGCGGTTGACAGCAAGCCAGAATGTGTGAGCCCCCTTCTCATGATGCGTGCCCAATATGCATGGTGAAGACGCCAGTCAAGGACAAAACTGAGGGGTTTGGGACTTAAAGTCTGCATCTCTGAGATTTCTGCATCTTAATCCAGATACCTGAACCAGCCTTCTGGGAGAAGGACTAACCAAACCACATCATTTAAATGAATATTAAGTACTGAAGCAAAGAAACACTGATGTGCAGCTACATGGAGTTACATATATATTTATCTAAAAATGAACTGAAATATATAAACCCCATAGCCAATACATGATACAATTAATTGCATATATTATGATACAATTAAATTTATACAATAATACAAGCACAGTTATGGGGTGATGCTGATAAAGTCATCATGGCCAAATATTGGGAGATTAATTGGTATGTCTGGTATATCAAATATCAAATATCAAATATTAGAACAAATAAATAAATAAAATGAAGTAAAATAAAATAAAGCACATTTAAATGCTCAAGTTTATAAAATAAATACTCCATATTATTCTCAAATTAGAAATTGAATTAAAGTAATTACTAAAAAATTTATAAATTAATTACTAAAACAACATAAAAGCAAGTTTAAAAGCTCTGCAAATTTATAAAAAACCCTCAAATTAGATTCTTCAAAATAAAATTAATAAAAAAAAAAAAAAAAGCTAATTTAAAGTTTAAAATATTGGCAGGTGAATTGGTTTGTCTGGGTTACTGATATCTAGCACCTTGTATCTTAAAAGCAGGCTATTCATTGGACAAAACAAAACAAATCAAAACAAAAAACTAAATAAAATATTAATAAATAAATAAAAACAGGTATAAATGCTCAAGTTTGTATTTGTGTATATATACTGTATATATTTATTTTTTCCCAAAAGTAGGGCTTTCAATGAGCAGAATAAATTTAAACAATGGTTATTTAGTGATGTCGACGATATCAAGTAGATTTGAATTTGGTCTAATTTGAGGTTATTAGGGCGACACATACAAAAGGATATTCCTGGCATGCTTCTCTTTGACAGCAATCTCCTGTGTGTTGATGGCTTTGTTGATGCTCACTGCCTGTGGAAAAGGGAGAGAGGAGAAAATAATTTTTTTGGGCCCTTCGTTCAGCCTTTCTAGTGAGGTTAAAGATTAAAAACCAGCTCATTGCAGAAGAGTCTTCCTGTGTGCTGATGGAAACAGTGAGTTTTAGTGTTTCACTGGAGCCTTACTGAGCAACTTTAACCACCGCTGTGCAACCGCCACTGAATACTAATGAAGTTGAGCTCAAGGAGTGTTTGACAGGCAGCATGACCTAAAACACCATTACCGCTTGGGCTACATCCTCCTAATAGTTTATGATTCATCTCTCAACCATATACATACCGACAATGTTGAGAGCTCTGAAGCAGAACAAACTTGTGAGAGACATTGAAAAAGCATTAGCCATATGTTTTCTTTCCCGGTTTCTGTCACAGATGCCAAAACGCCATCAGTTCTAGGTACCTTCACAACGTAAACAGTGTTCCTGTTTAAACAACCATCACATTTTCGGCATGGTCAGCTGAGTGTAATGAACTCTTATTCGCCCATCAGATAATGCACATGGTTGCATGAGCCAATTAAGGTGTGGCAGGGCACTCAAGTCTCTCCGCATTACTTCATCTAAATGTCCAAACTCTTTTTTTATTTAGAGAAACAAATGCTGTAGGTCTAAAACAACAGTTTTAAAAAAGGCAACACCAGTTCATTTCCGATGCAAAAGCTGTCCAAAAACGCCAAATTCTAATGGCATTGCACATGTTTGTCACAAAGCAGACAATCCCAAGATGCAATTACAAAGAACTCAGTGAAAAAAAAAATGTGATCACTATACAAAAATACAATATCACAATAACAATAAAACTTCCATAGCATTTATTAATCTAAATGTTAATATCAGCATTAATTAATACATTTTCGACTACTTTTTAAGAAATATTTGCATGTGTTGTGTATTTTCTATGCTTAGAACAGCACTCCAGCTTAAGCACCATTCACACAGGGCGTCAGCGTCAACGCCTCTCGTTTACTTTGAATTAGGGATGGGCGTATCGATCCGAAGTATGGATATATCCATACTGACGCGAGTATCGAAAGTATCGATACTAAAACAAAAAATATCGATACTAAGGTGCGCTTTATTTACCAGTGGTTTTGTTTATTTAACAAAAATAATAATAATAATAATAATAATAATGCGTACAATATGCATTGAATTGGACGAATAACCTTTGTTAGCGAGTAATTGTGTAGGATAGAACTATTTTCCTGCTCATCTGAACACACGCAAATGTTGCAAGACAGAACCAATCAATCACAGAGAGCGTTCACTCACTGCTGACAGTGCATTCAAACAGGGCTGCGTTTCCCAAAAGTATCATGACAAAGCATTCAAGCTTTTGGGAATGGCAGCCCTGAACAATGCTTATCAGAGGACAGAAATAAAAACATAAATGTTTGAGTTATTTCACAATAAACAAATTGAAATTGTAGCCTACATAGTTTGTGCAACTACAATTACTTAAATTGAAGGTTGAAAAATAATATTGATCATGTTCTATTCTGTAATGTTAATAGAAATCATACACTGTCAGAATAAAAAGGTTGCATTTTATGCATGCAACAGCCATTCACTGGCAGTCCCTAATGGCAGTACAAAATATTGCACTAAATCAAAAGTTCAAATGTTACAAATAAGTTAGAATATTAATGTTGTAATACTGGTAGCACTAATATAAAAATGTGATGATATATGTTACAAAAAAGTATGTTACAAATTTTGAAATACGTTGATGGTTGTATTTTTTGGTATTTGATCTCAGTATTCCTATCAATGTTGTATAAGGGTTTTTTTATGCATAATAGTAACCCTAGAAAGTGATCAAACTGTTTAAAATAGCTAGGCTAAGATATATAAAAAATTTTATGACTGCAGAAATATGTTAATTCAATATACAAATTATCCCACCAGTTACAATTGAGACTGACCATAAAATAACATTATAGATTATTTCAAAGGGTTGAAATAATGATGCATCATTTGAATATTTTCATGTCTGGGAAAAATTTGGGATTAAACGGGTTAAAATGCTTTTTAAACAAAGTTAAGTGGTTTTCATTACCCATTTTACTCTTAGTAATTTAATAAATTTAATACATTTCATAATTTAAAAGTTTAGTGCAGAAGTATCAAATCGGTATCGATATCAACGATACTGCCTTGAAAAATATCGGTATCGTATCAAAAACAAAATAAGGGGTATCGCCCCAAGCGTTGGCGAAATGAATTGCGGGTCCGTCTCACCCGCGTTGGGTCCGTTGCTTGCGGCAGAAGTTGAAAACTTTTCAACTTTAAGCGCCAACGCAGGCGTCAGCCAGTCAGATCACCTTATGCAAATACCCTAGCGCAGACGCTAGCCAATCGCGTTCATGCAACACCAGAAGACAAATGTGATTGGCTGTTGTCACTTGACGGTCGCGTCAGCACCAAGCTTCAGAAACAACCTCCGTCAAGCGTTAACGCTGACACCCCGTGTGAATGGGGCGTTAGCGATATGCTAAACTACAATACAGTTCAAAAGTCTGGTGTTAGTAAGAAGATTTTACCTTCAAAGAAATTAATACTTTTATTCACCAAGGACACATTAAATTGATCAAAATTGGTAATAAAAGACAGCACAACTGTTTTCAACATTGATAAGAAATGTTTCTTAAGCAGCAAATCAGCATATTAGAATAATACTGAAGGATCATGTGACACTGAAGACTAGAGTAATTATGCTGAAAATTCATCCTTGCATCACAGGAATAAATGACATTTTAAAAAAAATTTAAATGCAAAACAGTTATTTTAAACTGTAATAATATTTCACAACATTACTGGTTTTTACTGGTAGTTTAGGTTTTGAAACAGAGCAATACTGATGCATATTCCGCTTCAGACCAAAAATAAATCTGAAACGTTTTGTTGAAGAGCCCAGGGATCATCCTGACAAGAAATTCTGGCAAGGATGCTGAGAGAATGCTGTTGTAGCGTGTATAAAGGTGGCGTCGTATGCACACAGAGTTCAGTCTTCATCCCTGTGCGGCTTCTGCTGCCAGACACACTGTTAAAGGTGACAAGGCATGGCTTTGTTTAGACAAAATGGATCTGTGGGATGAGCGTCTCACTGAGTCACAGCTGTGATCTCAAACATGAGGACAAAGATAAAGTAAGGACAGCAGATTGGACAAATCCATGCCGCATGTTTTTAGCCAATGCTCTTCCGCTAAAAACGGCACCTGTCCTTGAGAAGTTGGTTTCTTCCATCACTCTCCAACAACCAATGATGCATTCAGAGCTGATAAACATAACTAAAACTGTCCATGATCCATAAAGTCTATAAAAAGATAATCAGTAGAAATGACGTCAACAAATTTCCATCAAAACAGAGGAAATTAAGACCTGTAAAAATGAAGGAGTAGATAAACAGCAGGAGTCTAAGTGATCGTGATGCTGGTGTGAGGAGAGGTGTGACCCAATTTGTCCACACTAGGACTTTGTCGTCTGTGTGAATGAGTTGTGCCAGCTGCCCAGGCCTTTTGGCACTGGTGAGCGAATTTACTGGCATCCCGGCCCATTCTCTCTCTCACAGGCACAGGCAAATGATAAGATGAAGTGATAACCACTTATTAAAATAAGAAGAGAGAAATAAGCTGGGAAAGATTACAAGCATGTAGATGAGCATAATGTCATCACATACTTAACCCTGTAAAGCCTGACATATGAAATAATAATCAGAATTTTAATAAATGGAAAATTTTGTTGAAAATTCAGACAAATTCAAATAAAAAGAATCTCGAAAAAAATGTAGTATATTTGATACTTGAGGCTTTTATGGCTCATTTAGTCTGGATATAGAGCTCATATTCAAGCAGGAGAAAAAAAAATAAAAATAAGCGAGCAAAAACTGCAATTTGGTGCTTACATAAAATGCATCTATATATCTATATCTATCTATCTCTCATAAATATATACATATATACACATACATACATATATATATATATATATATACACACTGCTGTTAAAAAACTTTGGGATCAGTAAGATCACAGCAATAAATTATATTCTAAAGTATATTAAAATAGAAAACTGATCATTTAAATTGTAATAATATTTCACAATATTACAGTATTTTTCATCAAATAAATGCAGCCTCGATGAGCATAAGAGATTTCTTTAAAAAGTATATATATCTTTCATATTTAAAAAAAAATATGTATGGACAGTCAAGTAAAATGCAGTTGCTTCAGTCCAGTAAATGTTCATCTTGAAATATTACTAACAACAAAAAAAGTTATTCTTACATGTATTCAAAAAAAATCTGTAAAGATCTCACAGCATAAAGACACATGTCCCATGACCTGAAGAGGAATGTTTTTAGAATGATACTAAAAGGCCTTTTACTTGCTAAAATGTATGAACTATAATTCAGATAACTATAATTGAGAAGGCATGTACCAGATTGTGTACAGCAGGTTTTTTTGCAAATCAAATATTGTACAGTAGGGATAGCTTTATTAAAGGGATAATTCAACCAAAAAAAATTAATTCTGTTGTAATTTACTCACCCTCATGTCATTCTGTATGACTTCATTTTTTTATAAGTGGAAAGATCTTATTTTGGGACTCTTTATATGACACTCAGATTTGCACTCAGAAATGCAGTGTCATCCTACACAAAAAAAACGATGCCATTGCTTTATTATTTCTTCCCTTCAAACCAGAATGAGTAACTCAATTTCCTACTTCTGCATTTCAAAGAAAGCTCTCCAAACAGCCTGTTATGCCACAAGTACTTTATTCAATCTCTCGCCTACAGCAATATCAACCCATTAGACACTTAATTACTGTGGCACTTTTTCTATATTGAGCTGACGCAAACTTGTTAAGCACAGCCTATGTGACTGATGATCTGCACACATCTGCGTTGCGAACCATTCTGACAGTCATGTTGTACAGAACTGCCAAATGCACAATATCAATCAATGGGAGA